AAAACAAAGAATGTCTTAAGAGCGGGTACTACTCCCAACTCTCTATCTTGAAACCACTTTCTTAAAGGCCACTGATAGGCCATATTCATTCATTCATAGACATTTACCAAGTGCTTACTGCATGCTAGGTATTGTATAAGTGCTGAGGATCCTTAAATGAATAGTAACAGCAATAATTTATATTAAGCTATTATTAAATAATTTCTGAATATCATATATTAAACATTTTATGTATCATATAGGCTATATATTATATATCATGCATAAGCTATATATTATAGTAATTTATATATAATTAATGTATTAATATAATATATTAAGCAATAATAGCAAACATTTACCTAGTAACTACTATATGCAAGCAATGTTTTGCAAACTGCAGATAGCAAACTCAGTGGCTCATGATATCAGCTTAGTACTTCACAGCCATCATTTTATAGACTAGAAGAAAATTGAAATAATAGCAATAATAGCATGCTTCCCTCCTACTAAGGATAAAAATTGTTTCATAAAACTTTTATTTCATACATGGATACACTCACACCTCTATATGCACTGGGTCATAATATAAAATGTATTTCCTATTGTTTTGGCCAAATAGTTTTAGAACTACTGATCTAGAACATTATTATAAGAAGTATTAATATGCATTTTTCACAGTTTTAACTCTTCTCAAGCCAGTGCATCTCACACATATTGTAAGAAAGTAAAATTATAGATCAGTATTTCCCCCAAGCACAGAAATAGCCTAAGTAAAATAATAGTAAATTGAGTACAGCAATCTATAAAAAAGATAATGCATTCTGACAAAGTGGAATTTATTCTGGAAATGCAAGTGGATATAATATTTGAAAAGGAACTAATAATAGTTCAATATATTAATGGAATAAAGAAAAAAATAAGACATCATCTCAATAGATACAGAGAAGACATATAATAAAACTTAATACCTACTCTTTATAAAATTGTCAGCAAAGTAGACATAGAAGAGAATTTCTATAATATGATTAAGGAAATCTGCAAACAAAAACAAAAACAGGACCAAAAGCAAATACACAAAAATCTTGTAGTCAGTGCCACCCTGACTAGGGTTACAAGGCAAAGGCATACACTAGCACTGTTCCTATTCAACATCGTTCTGGGGGGCTGAGTTAAGAGAAGAAGAAGTAAAATTATCTTCATTCCCAAATGAAGTGATTGTATGTATAGAAAATCCAAAGGATTACATATATAAATTTATTTAATCTTCATGACGATCTTACGAGGTAGGGAGAGATTTTGTTAGGTTGTTATTAGCTCTTCAAGTGTTTTGAAGACTTCACTAGGGCAGTCTGTTGCTAGTTTTCTTTGTGAGATAGTGTTGAATTATGGATTCAATTTTTTTCAACAGATAAGGCTATTAAGAATTTTAATTTTCTTTCATGTAAGTTTGGGTTAGTTGTGTTTTGGGAGGGGATTTTCCATTTAAGTTTTCAAATATGTATAAAGTTGTTCATAATATCTCTTTTTTCATATCTGTGGAATCTGCATTAATGTCTCCCTTTTCATTCTTTATATTGGTCATTTGTGTTTTTCCTCCTTTTTTCTTGCCCAGTCTTGCTAATGTTCTTAATCTATTAATATTTTTCAAAAAACAACTTTTGATTTTATTGATTTTCTCTGTTGCAGGTCTGCTTTCTTTTTTACTAATTTCTGCTCCTATCTTTATTATTTCCTTCCTCATCTTTTTATTTATGTGTTGTTCTTTTTAAGATGGAAACTTAGATCATTTACTTTCAATCTTTCTTTTCTAATATTTACATTTAAAGCTATAAATTTCCCTGTAAGTACTTCTTTGGCTGAATCCCATAAATTGTGATGTGTAAGTATTCCAGGTCATAACTCAATGCTTATTCTCATTATTTTGACTTGATTTTTTCTGTCAATGCACAGTGTTTCTTTTTCATTTTGGGGAACTGTAGCAGCCAAATTTTGTGACCATCCAGAGCAATATTCATATAACTTCTCAGATCAATTTAACTTAAAATACATCTAAGGAGACATCTTTTGGCATTGAGTCTTTTGAAAGGGTTCTGATCTGGAGAGCATTATTTTGGTTTTTCCCTGCTTCTATAAAATGTATGAGAAATAGCATCTCAAACTCTTTTAAAAGCATTAGCTATTAAGTGTTGCTTGTTCTTAACCTCCTTGTATTGGGGCAAATAAGGATGTTATGATGACGATGCTCTTTTGTCCTAATAAAACTCAAAGTGTTAAGCTTTCCAGAAAATGGAGATGCTAAATATTATAACTGGGGCAACACACTGTTAAGACAACCAATTAGAATTATAGACTACTTAGATACAAAAATTTACTTTCACAGTAACAATTTCTGAAGTCCAGTTACATTTGCAAGAACAGCTTTATTATGATAAACAATCTGTTCTCCCAGAGGATGGAGAAAAACAAAATCCTTTCTTCCTGAGATGTCTTTCACCTACTGTTAAGAAGGGCGTGCAGCCTCAAGGCTAACTGGAATTCAATCAGCACTGAGAGGAAAGGGCAGGTCCAAGAGACTCAGAACTTACCAGAACGGGGCCAAATAGAATTACTAACAAATGGTCTGTGGGGGCTGATAAGGTTTTGCCTCTGCAATTCTGAATCATTTTCTCATGTATGGAATATGCCTTAAAAATGATTTTACCTCCTGATGCACTCATTGACATATGGCACACAATGGGATAAAATCTGGCCTTGTTAATTGCAGTACCAGGTTTTCAGGAAGGGGAAGGACATTTTCTTGGTTGTTGGAAGCCTGAACATTTGCTTCAGAAGCATTAACATTTTGCGATCCCTTGATTCAGCAACTCCACCTCAACAGGTTTGTTCTAAGGAAATAACCACCTGCATGTGTGAAGGTTTAACTACAAAGATGTCCATTATAATGTTGCTTAGAATTCTGTAAAACCTGCAGAAAGCCTAAGTGTATTCAATTAGTTAATATAAGTTTATTATATTGGGATATGATAGAGCAAAAAATAAAGAGATGGTGATGATGCATACTTCATGACAGAAAACATTCATACTATAAAGTTTAGAAATATTATGTATGACAATTCAATTTTAATTTTTTAAAAAAGGCATATGGTATATTATTATATATTGAGTACATTAATAAAATACCAGAAGGAATAAATACCAAATGTAACAGTGGTTATTTCTTGGAATGGAGATAATAGGTGATTTTATTTTCTTTTGGCTATCTGCAGTTTAAAATAACTACTCAAAATATCCATGCCTTATATTTGTAATATTGGAAAATAGAAGCTATTGCATTATAAAGCTATTGCTTTAGAGCAACCACGAGGAATGAATACAGACCCTTGGTATGAGAATTTCCAGACATCTAACATCAGGTAGCTTGGTTTTTGTTTTTCCTCTGCATCTTCTGGATGTACATCTTGCTTCCCCAAACCCTCCCTGAATGGGGATGACCAAGGCTTGGGCAGCAGTCACATGCATCCTTTCATTCTCTGCAGGGCTGTCGCTCTGCTCCTATTCTCTTTTTTCTCCTATAATAACTTTGTATGGGATTTGACCTTGATCCTTTTCTGTGGCTCCTTATTATGAAGAGTTAGTTTTTCTGGACTTAGGGAATGATGAAAAGATTCAGGAAAATCTTTCTAACTCTGTAATTCACCCATTTCCTGGTGTTTTTGTGTATGTTCCAAAACGGGGCAGTTTAAATTGGCACAGCCACTGTGAAAAACAGTAAGAATTAAAGGGATGGCACGGAGTAGCCCTCAACAACCTTCAAAACTGACTTGCTGGGGTTCCCTTCTAGGATGGGGCCCCACTCTTAAGAGAAATTGTTGGTTGTGGAGTCAAAATTGAACCAGATAGGCATGACGAGGATGCAAGAAAGAGGGAGCTCCAACCCCAGTGGGGAGGAGAACAGAGCCAAGAAACATCAGAAAGCCAGCTGCTCTGTGTTTTTTTGTTTTTATGGAGATATAGTTGACATATAGTATTATATTGGTTTCAGGTATGCAACATAATGATTCTATATTTGTAAATATTGAGAAATGATCACTATAATAAGTTTAGTTAACATCCACCGCCAGACGTAGTTCCAAGATGTTTTTCTTGTGATGAGAACTTTTAAGATCTACTCTCTTAGCGACTTACAAATACACAATACAGTATAATTAACTGTGGACACCATGCTTACATTACATCCCCAGGACTTGTTTATCTTACAGCTGGAAGTTTGTACCTTTTGACTCTCTTCACCCATTTCACCCACCTCTGGCAACCACCAATCTTTTCTCTGTATCCATGAGCTCAGTTTTGGGTTTTTTTTTTAGGATTCCACATACAAATGAGGTCATACAGTATTTGTCTTCCTCTGTCTCACTTATTTCACTTAGCTTAATGCCCTCAAGGTCCATCCATGTTATTGCTTATGGCAAGATTTCCTTCTTTTATTTCATTGTATGTATGTGTGTGTGTATATATATATATAAAAAACATCTTCTTTATCCATTCAGCCATTGATAGACTTAGGTTGTTTCCATATCTTGGCTATTGTGAATAATGCTGCAATAAACAGGGGGATGCATACAACTTTTCAAGCTAGTGCTTTTGTTTTCTTAAGAGGAATATCCAGAAGTGGAACTGCTGGATTGATGTGGTAGTTCTATTTTTAATTTTTTGAGGAACCTCCGTCATACTGTTTTCCACAGGGCTGCACCAAGTTAAATTGCCCTGTTTTAGAACATACACATACATAAACAAAAAAACAGAAAAACAGAAAGAGGGCCAATTATGGAGTTAGAAAGGCTTTCCTGAATCCTTCTGCCATTCTAAAATTCAGAAAAACTTAACTCCTCCTAATAAGGAGCCACAAAATAGGATCAAGGTCAAATCCCATACAAAGTCATTGTAGGAAAAAAAAACAGCAGCAGAGTGACAGCCCCACAGACAATGAAAGCATGTTATAAAGCTGTTCCCCAAAATAGAATAAAAGTACGTGCCATTATTTCAGAATGGCCTAAAGGCATTGAGAAAAGGATATGAGATATGATGGAAGAACAATATCAGAGTTAGAAAAACTCAGAACTGAGCTGACAGAATGTAGGAAAGAATTAGAAATAAAAGAAAAAAGTCATTTCAGAAATGAAGAATACATTAGAATGAACACAAGAGTAAATAAACAATAAACAGAAAGATAAATAGAAAGTGAAAAAGAAGAAAATTCCTATTAGTTTAGCGCTTTGCGGTTCTTGGTACTGACGCCTGTGCATTCTCATCTGCGAGCCTTGGACACCCTGCAGGCTGGCGCCTGCATCCTTGGGCATGGTCCCAAGGGGTCTGAGCACTCCCTTGCTATCTGGTGGTTAAGATATTCCAGGATTATCCTGTGCATTTCCTGTCCCAGAGTCGTTTTGCTAAGAAGCTCTGGTCTTAGTGATGAATAGCAATGTGAAACCACTGTTTGGGAACCTAGGGATGCTCCTTGCTATGAGGCTGCCCACTGCTTTTGGCCTTTTTCAGCAGAGCTAAGGAAAAAATATATATACCTATAATATGTAAAAAATTTTCAATGTATAATTTCACACAGACACTTCCAGTTTTAATTTGAGGCTAGAACTTTTACTTATTCTTGTCCTATTACATCTGAATTCCCTTTCTTCTATATTAAAAACCCTGATTGTCACCTTAAGCTAGGAATACACATTTGGGTGACAAAACTATGAAGAAACAAAGATGTGACTACCTTTAAGTCAGAATACTAGTAAGTTATATGGGGTGGGGAGGTTGTGATTGGGATGGACACAGAGAGAGCTTCCAGGGTAGCTGTCAAAATTCTACCACTCAATGTGGGTAGTATTTGCCTTATAATAATTTACTGAGGTCTACATTTGATTTATGTGGTTTTCTATATGTTTTACTTGTGAAAGAAACATTAAAAAATAATGCAGTGAATCTGCTTTGTTGTTAAAAATGCAAGATACCGAACAGCGTCCGGAAAACAATAGATTATGAATCTCTTGTGTATGTAAAACACAGACTCACATTATAAAATTGTAGACATAGCATGGTCCCATTTGTGTTAACTGGAGGGAGATTTTTAAAGAACTGAACTTTCAAAATTATATGACTCAGACATTAGATTACCCAGGAACATGAGACTTCCTATGAGAATGTCTAAAGATTTCTTGTTTGTATCACATCTTCTCGTAGCTTTGTAGAAATGGAGATAGCCAGCCATTTCAACCATTGACAAAGATATGCTATAGTGAGTCTGAGACAATTTACCACCATGTTACCCAAGACACATAGAGTGAGCAATTACAAATTTATAGAAACAACTGTGACAATATTTCTTTATAAATTCCTTTTAATTATATATTCATCTATAGTCTATTTACTGTGTATACATTTTTTAAAGTGACTAATTGGCTTTCAATTACTCTTTCTGTAGGCATAGACTATCATAAGAAGGTATTCAACAGAGTGCTAACCATGATTATAGTTATGAAAGATGGCAAAACCTGGATATTTCCCCGTGTTCGTCAGAGTTAAATCAGCAGAGCACAACCACTAGGAGTGATAGAGAATATAGGAAATATTATTGGGATCTGCCCATACACAATTGTGGGAGCTAGTTAAACAGCTTATATTCGGTTGTTTCTGCATCTGGAGATGAGCCTGACGTCCATAGGGCAGGAGTCAGGAAAAAGTGAAGTGCATGAAACAGAAAGCAGGGCCCTACACGTATGAACTGAAACCCCCACCAGTCTCCACTGCCTCCAGGCCTCTGACTTCAGTGATGCGGGAGATACTCTTGCCCTTGTCACAGAGCTGATGTCCACCTGGGCCAGGAGGTGGAAGTCCCAGAAGCTCAAGAACTCCAGCTGGAGCTGAAAGAGTTACGGGTCCAGCTACTGCCTCACACCAAGGTGGGTAGCAGATCTGCAGCAATGCTAATGACCTACAACTACATGTGACTCTCTACAAGCCAAGTAGAAAGGTACAACCAAAAGTCAAGGTATACTTCTGAGTATAACTAAACATGGCTGCTGCATGTCAAGCCCCACACAAGGGTCCTGTGCCCACATAAGAAAGGAAATTCTAGCCATAAGCTTAACTAAGTTAATATAGTATAAACCACTACACCCTATTTATTTGGTACCTCTCTTCTCAAAGTTTACAATGGCACCTAAAAAGGTCCATGTAGTTTGCTCCTCAGGAATAAAGTTACGAAGGATGTGCTTTTCATACTAAATAGATACCAAGGTACCAACTATAGGTCATACAAAATAGATCATTATTCTCTCTCCTTTAGGGCACTTACCACTTTCTGTCTTGAGGTAATATTTATCTAAGACTTTCTCTGCCCTAATAGACTGTAAATTCCCTGGGCAGGATGCTTGTCTCAATATTCAAGTATCCCTCACAAATGCTTAATACAATACCTGCCACCCAGTTTTCAATAAATAGTTCAGTTCTTCCTTCCTGGATAATAGCGTTAAACGCTTTTCATGGGCTAAATTGGCATCTGCATATCCCCTTCATTGAAGTGACTTTTCATGTCTCCTGCTCATTTTCTAACTGGATTTTTTATTATTGAGTTTTGAGAGTTTTTGTACAGGTTAGATCTTTTGTTATCATCTCACAGGTCCCTAAGGCTCTGTTCCTTTTTCTCAGTCTCTTTTCTTCCTGTTGTTCTGATTGCCTCATTTCTGCTGTTCTGCCTTTCAGTTCGCTGATTCTTTCCTTTCTCCATTCCATTCTGCTGCTGAGCCGATCCACTGAGTTTTAAATTTTGGTTATCACATTATTAAGTTCTAAAATTTCCTTTCTGAGACTTTGTATTTCTTTCTTGAGATTTTTTTTTTTTTTCATTTGTTTCAGATGTGTTTGAAACTGCTTGTTAAAGCCTTTTTATGATAGCTGCTTTAAAATCCTTGTATGATCATTCTAACACCTTTGTCATCTTGGTGTTGTATTTACTGCTCGCCTTTTCCTTTCATTCAGCTGAGGTCTTCCTAGTTCTTGGCATACTGAGTGACTTTCAGTTGAAACCTGAACATTTAAAAAATCATTGTAAATCTCTGGATCTTCTTAAACCTTTCATTTTAGCTGGCTTCTCTGACCTTACTCTGGTGGGAGAAGTGGTAGCATTACAGTTACCACCAGGTGGGAGAAGTCCAGGCTCACTACTTGGCCTCCACTGACATCCCAGTAAGGGTGGCTCTTCATTTCTGCTGGGTAGGGTAGGAGTTCTGGCTTTCAGCTGGTCCTGCCCCGGCTGGTGAGTCAGGAGCACTTTGTTACTGCCCTTCATGTGGCCTCCGCTGACACCACACAATGAGGTGGTGATAACTCTCCCCTAGGCCTCCTCTGACACCCCCTAAGTGAGGAATGGGAGGAGGGCCTCATTTCCGCCAGATGGAGTGGAAGCCCAGGCTCCTCACACAGTCTCCTCTGACACCAGAGGAGGGTGTTTTTTACCACCCAGTGGAGATGAAAATCTTGGCTCCCTACTTAGTCGTGTCTGACGTCACCACAGCAGTAGGGCTGGGCATCTTACAGCCTGGCCAGGGTAAAGTGCAGGCTCCCACTCAGCCTTGGCTTCCAGGGCTTGCAATGGGGCAGTAATGTTTCCAGTAGTGTTTTGCTGCAGTAGAGTAATTATTTTCTACACATTTTCTGTCTTTCTAGGCTGACCCTTCTGAAGTTCTCTGGGTATAGAGAGCAGGCTTTTGTGGGAGCTTTTTTGTTCTGAGCTCATTGGTGTTTCTGGATTGCTGGCTTCTCCAGCACCCAGTCTGAGATATCTGAGGCAAAAGGAAAACCCAGAGAACTCACTACTATGTTGTTCTTTGGGTCCTGAGTCTCTGGTAATTCTGCCTTTTCCTTGCTACCTTTCAGAGTCTTCTTATATTTTATGTGTTATGTTCAGTGTCTTTTTGCTGTTGTACATGGTGCAAAAAGTAGGAAAAATACCTCTGTTCCATCTCTCTGGAAGAAGGCATATCTTCCTATTTCACTCAGCATTGTGTTTTTAGATCTACTTATGATGATATATTTACAGTGAATTCATTTATCTAATAAGTCCTGTATAGTATTCAATTGCATAGCCAAACCTCCATTATTGACCTATTCCCCTAATGATGGACATTAATATTGTTTCAAACATTTTGTTGTAATAGAGCTTCATTGAACATCCTTGCACATATCTTGTGTACATGTGAATCTCTCTAGAGTGCATACCTACAAGTAGTATGAGGTCACATAGGAGGTATGCCTTCTCAGCTTTATTAGATATTCCCAAATTAATTGCAAAGGGGTTGTACTAATTTACTCACCCACCACTTCTTTGCCACACACAATATAGTCAGACTTTTTGACTTTTGCCAGTCTGATGTGTGTAATTAATTGTTTTAATAGTACTTAATTGTTTTCATTTCTACCTCTATAATGCTAATCTACTGGTCATTACATTTCTCCTCTAAATTGCTTGCTCATATCCCTTCCTGAGTCCTGGCTCAGGGCATTACCAGCTGTGTAATATTGAGCAAGTTATCTAAATATTTTGTCTCTAAATTTTGTTGTCTTAGGAATGAAAAATATGTAATAGGATTAATTTATAACTATAGGGTGATTACTAGGGTAAAGTGCTTTTGTTTGTGTTTAAAACGGTGTCCAGATTATACTAAGCATTGTATAATTGTTAACTATTATTAATTCATAGCATATGTATTATTTTGTATCTGGATATAAATTCCTCATCTGTTCTGTTATAGATATGTTCTCTGTGTGTGTGGTTTGTTTTTAAACTTAGTTGATAGCATATTATATAAGCATTTAACATTTTTATGATAATATATATCAGTATTATCTCTAGTGATTTCTAGTCTTTGTAAAGAAATCAGCTTCCCCAAAAATGATAAAATATTGCATACTTACTTCCAGTTGTTTTAAAATTTTGAATTGCACATTTAGATAGTTAATCTGTCTGGAATTCATTATTATATATTGTGAAGAAGTATATGTCTAATTTTCTCTCCATGTACAAAGCTGAGCTAGGCCAGAACACAAGTGCTCCTCTGGGTCTGAGGGCTGGTGAAGATGGTGGCCTCACTTAGCCTGGCTTGCCTTCTCTGTCACTTACCAGTGAACCAGTCAACAGCCAGGGCAAAGGATCACAGAAAGTCAAGGGCACGCAGGCAAAGAAACAGCTTTGTCTATGAAATAACCCCTTTGGAATCTCTATGCAGTACTCTGTGAATTTGTCTTAAATTTTTACCCTATTACCTCCAGGAGGAAAGGGGGAAGTTTAAGCTACACAAACCAGTTCAATTTAATCCACTGCTTTCACCTCTCCAGTATTTTCCTAGAAGGAGTAACTATGAAATGGATTATTGACCTGCAACACAGAAGAACTGGGAGAAAAGTGTGCACAAATTTAAGAAAAGTACTGAAAGGAATACTCTTCCTTTTATCACATTTCAAAACTTTAGATGCATATGAATTTATTTTATTATTTTTATATTAATTTTCATTGGTTATATAGTATGCATTTTGTGATGACAGCAAGTGGCAGCTTTAAAAATGAAGTTCCAGAAAGCCATTCCAACTTTCATAATTCTAAAACATTCCACAATTGTGAGAGAAGTCTCTAGAAGAGCATTTCAGACTGACACCCACAAAACATAGTCATAAACTTAAGTTTATACACACATATGTATATATATACACACCCTGGCAAGGATTGGACAAAGTGCATTTTTAAAGCTCCTGTTTTAAGTTCATAAGATTAAAATTAAATGTAATGTTCTGTAGAGAATTTTCAAAACAATCTTGAAATTATCTACACATGTTTACCCATAAAGTAATCATCCTGCTCAGCACTGCTCAGTGAATATTTTTTATGCCAACTAACAAAGTAGGAATTAACTCATTTTTGAGTCATAAGCCACAAAACCCCAGTGAACTCTAGCATTTTGTGAATCAGAGTAAGGGTGGCAGAAACATAAAGCAGTTAAAAAAAGCCCCTATCAGGATCAACAGAGGTGAGGCTTAGAACCTCCCCCACCCCCCAGCCCCCCGTTCTGAGAGAAATCTTCTGCATACGTGGATGTTTTATTGCCCTTGTCTAGCTTGGATTAACACTAGTCTACAGGCACACACCTGATCATCTACATTTTCTCTCTTACAACTCTAAACTATGTTTTCTACCTTTATCTTGTATCTACCTACCACTTCAGCATTTTATTAAAAATAATAATAATAAAGAGAGAAATGTGGTATCCACATATAAATCAAGTATAAAAATCAAATGAGTATTCATATTTGAACTGTTTATAGTTCATAATGCATAAGCAAAACCGAAAGCAGTGATGACTGCCCTTGTACTGTTCACCATGTAACTTATTCACTATGTAAGAATTTGTTCTCCATGTAAGAACTTGTTCGTTATGCTTCAGAAGAATAGAAACTGACGAAAATTAGGCTTGGGGTGGATTAATGATTGTACATTGAGCATTGACCCCCCTATACAGAATTTTATTGTTGTTAACAACTGTAAGAATAGAAATAGGTTAGCATAAGCATAGCCATCTTAAAGGCCTAGAAGCCATTTTCTGAGTATGTGACTTAGAAAGAAAAACTGGAACTGGGTAAGGCCTTGAAAAACAAGTTAATCATGAGCACCGGGTGGTGGGCAGCTGTGACCCTTGGTCAGCTAACCTTGGTCAGTAAATCTTACATACCAAGCTTATCGTGCAGAACCTCCCTAACCATTGAGGAGTAGTCTTACCCTGCCCTTGCTTAACCCCAGGATATATGTCTTGCAAGAATAATGTATAGTTATAGAAAATTGCTATGAGTTAAGTGCTTTGAAATTGCTATATAAACCCTTGGCTCTGAGTGCTCGGGGTCCTTGTTGAGACCC